GTCCTTTTCCATCAACAAGAAATATGAGTAAAGTTTTAGTATACAAATTAAAAAGAATTCACTGTACATGTTATATGTTATATAGGTGGTATGAGGTAGGGTTGTCCATCTCACTGAATGTGAATCTGGGTGAAGTTCAATTAATTGTGAATGTGAATCTGGGTGAAGTTCAGTTAATAAACAATTAAATAATGTCACAATCATTAAAACACTTAAAAATAGATAAAGGCAAGAATTATTATATTTCAAATATATTTATCAGTATTCAATTAGGGATTTAAATATATGTTGTTGTTATTTATGCATCTTTTTGTGTGTAGTCTTGTCTAATGTTTCAAATATTTTTTTTCAGAAAAAAATGTTTGTTTATTGCGATTTGTTCCAATATTACAATTTTCTAAGGTAGTCTCTCTTTTGAGACATTTTATAATTGAAACACACTCAAGATACAGAAAATATTTGAAATATTCTGAAATGGAATCCTATTTTTTTTTTCAACAGCTATTTTCATTTAGATCTATTTATTTATTTATTTTATTTGTCAAATGCTTACAATATAATAGAAATAAGAATAAACATATGTATAAATATATGAAATAGGTATCAATAATTGGGGACAACAGGACAGGTATGGTAGGCACGATTGTGCACTTATGCATGCCCCCTACAGATCTCTTAGGAATGGGGTGAGTCAATGGAGGTTAGTTTGAGGGTAAAGGAGTGGGAATTTGAGCACGTGACAACAGAATCAGGTAGTGAGTTCCAGACATTGACCACTCTGTTGCTGAAATCATACTTCCTGCAATCAAGTTTGGAGTGGTATACATTAAGTTTATATCTATTGTGCGCTCTTGTGTTGTTGTGGTTAAAGCTGAAATATTCATTAACTGGTAAGACATTGTAATGTATAATTTTATGTACTATGCTTAAGTTCAATCTTAGCCGGTGTAGTTCAAGGATGTCTAAGCCTAGAATCTCAAGTGTGGTGGTATAGGGTATTCTGTTGTGAATAGAGGAGCGTAGTACTCCTCTTGTAAAATACTTCTGGACTCACTCAATTGTATTAATGTCTGATATACAGTGCGGATTCCAGACAGCAGAGCTGTATTCAAGTATTGGTCTAGCAAAGGTTTTGTATGCTCTAGTTTACAAATTAGTATTACCAGAGAAGAAACTTCATAAGATTAGATTTACAACTCTTAAAGCCTTTTTTGCAATACTGTTGCAGTGAGCTCTGGCACTTAGGTCATTCGATATGTGTACTCCAAGGTCCTTGACAGAGTGAGGGTTGTCAATGAGGTCATATCCACCTAGCTTGTATTTGATATGTTGATTTTTTTTACAATGTGTAAAACAGAGCATTTGTTGGTCAAGACTTGGAATTGCCAACTGTTTGACCATTCAGACACATAATCAAGGTTGCTTTGAAGGACAGTAGCATTGTTGGTGGTATTAAATAGTTTTATGTCAGCAAAGAGGACACAGTTGCTTATAAATGATCACAAAGGTCATTTATATAGAGTGTAAAGAGTGTGGGTTCTAGAACACTCCCTTGGGGGACACTGCTGTTAACTGGTGCAGGGTTTGATAGGGCGTTTCCTATTTTACCTACTTGTTGCCTGTTTGAGAGGAAGGTAGTGATCCACTTCTGAAGGGATCCGGAAATGCCATAAGAGTTTAATTTTAATAGTAGTTTGTCATGTACCACTGAGTCAAAGGTTTTGCAGAAATCTATGTAAAGTACATCTATTGCTTTACTCTGGTCAAGTAGTGTAGTCCACATATTTTTTCAGTGTAGAAGTTGCAAATTGCAGGACAATTTTTTTCTGAAACCAAATTATTTATTGAAAAGTCGGTTGTTTGACTCTAGATGGAAGGTAGTGCATTGGTTACTGATTGATTCCATAACTTTGCACGTGACACAACACAATGAGATTGGTCTGTAGTTTTCAACCAGGTGGGATCACCTTTTTTGAAAATAGGGATGACCATTGCTAAAGACAAGGTAAGATTCGGTAAGAAGCTGGTTCTGAATGATATCTCATATATTATGCTTAGGGGTTCTGCTATGGCAGTGGAGAGCTTTTTTAAGAAGTTTGCACATAAGCCACCAGGGCCAATAGATAAGAATGATTTTAGGTAACGGAGCGCATTTTCTATGTTATCTTCAGAAAAGTCAGTATGTAGTAGATCATTGCAGATAGTTGTGGTATGATTAGGAAATGTGGAGCATGAGCCATTACTATTTACAAAGACTGAACTGAAGAACGTGTTGAAGAGGTTTGCCTTAATGGCTTCATTGCTATAGTCTTTCCCATTAGGTCCTCTTAGGAGTGGGATGGTTTTTGAGTTTTTAAGTTTGTGTTTACAAAGTTATAGAAGGCGTGGGTGTATAAGATTTTCCTCTTGCTCACAGTGCTAATTGGTGCATTCTGCCTTTATCTGTAGGCATAAGGTTTTGTATCAGTTTTTAAAGTTAGCTACATATCTAGTTTTGTTTTTACGCCATAAGGATTTTTATTTATCTAAATATTATAGATATTTATTTATTTACCTAAATATAATAGATATGTAATAAAGCTAAATATAACAGATCTGTAATATATCTATTATTACAAATATCTTTCTGAATCTGTTCTGCCAAAAAACTTGTTAGGTTATCCTAATTGGGTAGGTTAATTTAATTAATATTAAATATGTCAGATTTTATACACAACCATACATAACACACATACATAAGCCTTCAATAAATGAAAATAATTATAAAAATTGTTAAAAACTGTGGACACTTATAGCAACATAAATATGTATACAACCAGCATGCAAGTTAAATAGTTAAGTGAATATCATTCAACAAACCTGACATAAAGTATCAAATTTCTTTCCAGCTGGTATTGAAAGTTTTCCTTTCTTGTCTTTATCAATGCGATAATGTGCTACCTTGCCTTCATTGAGTAAACAAAGAGCATAGGATCCACTGTTATCTCTTTCTCTAATCCTAAAAAGTAACATAATAATAATAATAATAATAAATAATAATAATGTAAATTATAGTCTATATAAAGAGAAGGGCTATGAAAATCTAACTTAATATTCATGGTAAAACATGCTGGGACACATTGCCCAAACTAGAATCATTAACTGCTCCTGCTACCAGTAGGTTAACAAAGATGATTATTATGTAGTTCAGACTGAGATTTTTTTTTTGAAGAATGAACATTTTGTTTTAGAAGGAAAAGAAACAGAAATTGCAAATTACATGTAAAAATTTGCAGAATAATGTTAAGATAAAATTAAAATGAAAGCAGAACTTATTCCACTGAAAGAAGCACCTCAAACATTATCATTATATAACTATTTATAATGGGATCAAAATAATTTTAAAGATAGTTTCATGACATTTTAATACTTTAGCCATTTCAATACTGCTATATTTAATTATTATTAAAATAATTTTAAAATAAATTTCATAGATCTATCACAAATAAACCATCTTAGTTTAAAGAACGCTTATTTTGAGTCAACCCCAATCTCAGCTTTGCCAGCAAGATATTTTACAGAATGAAATTTGATTTACAAAATATCCTGGCATCAAATATTATATATAAAGACAGTTCAATCTATTTTGTATGTTTATATAAAATTAGCAATACCTAACAGGAAAATAACTGGTAGCAAACAAAAGTCAGTATTTATAATTTGGTTCATCCTGCAGTTGATCATTTGCCCCCCAAATTGACCACCAGATATGATAAAACATTCCAACTTGATTCTTACATTTTCAAAAAATTTCTGAATATATATGCCTATTTTAAAAATCATCATTAGGCTAATATACCAGGAGAAAAACATACCATTTTAATGGTCATTTTATTGAGTCTATCATCTGCACCTCTATAACTGTCTGGTTTGGTTCTTCAACCCAACAGGACAGGCACAGACTTCACAGGATAATTAGGACTGCAGAAAAAACAATTACTACCCACCTGCCTTCAATCGAGGACTGTATACTGTACGAGTCAAAAAGAGGGCTGTGAAAATATTTACAGACCCCTCATATCCCAGACATAAACTGTTTCAACTCCTTCCCTCAAAATGATGCTATAGAGCACTGCACACCAGAACAACTAGACACAAGGACAGTTTTTTCCCAAAAGCCATCACTCTGCTAAACAAATAATTCCCTCAACACGGTTCAACTATTTACAAAGTGTGCACTACTATTACTGTTAATCTTCTCATCACTCCTTATCAGGTGTGGGATTCAAATTTTTTAACAACCAGTTCTGTGGGCGTGGCTTAGGTGGTGGGCATGGCTTGGTGGTCATATGACTGGGTGGACATGGCTTGGTGGTCATGTTATTGGCTGGGTGTGGCCAACTCAATATCACTCACATCGAGGCATGCATCTCCTCATGACTGTGGGGATGCTGCAACAGTCGTAAGTGTGAAAAATGGTCATAAGTCACTTTTTTCAGTGCCATTGTAACTTTGAATGGTCACTTCACATGAGCAAAGTACTAGCAAAGGAGGGAAAAAAAATCCAGAGATGTTCCTGAGACAGGAAGTTTAGTCCTGCCCAGAATGTAATAAGGGTTAACAGAGAGGCAGTTTCTGTAAGCAACACCAGAATATTTCCTTCCTGCCTTCCTTACAGGATTAGGCCAGTAATTACTTCTAACAAGCAGTTCTCCGAACTGCTTAGAATGTTAACAACCGGTTCTAGCAAATAGGCGCGAACTGGTAGAATCCCACCCCTGCTCCTTATCACCCATCCCCTCCCACTTGTGATTGTAGGACTGTAACTTTGTCGCTTGTATCCTTACTATTTATATTGACTGCTTCCTAGTATGATTTGATTGTTGATTGTACCCTATGACTATCATTAAGTGTTGTTCATTATGATTCTTGATTCTTAACTAATGTATCTTTTCTTTATGTATTCTGAGAGTATTTACAGCAAGACAAATTCCTTGTGCGTCCAATCACACTTGGCCAATAAAGTATTCTATTCTATTCTATTCTATTCTATTCTATTCTATTCTATTCGAGTTATAATAAATTTGATGTTTGCCTTCCATGACTGGATTGTATTGCTCATTTGTAGATAATGAAACCATGAAAAGTTTTATTTTGGAGGTAGGGGGAGAAATAGGAACAAAACAAATTATTTCTCTAGGCAATCTCTCCCATGTCTGATCTGTTTCTCCCTCCCCCTCTTGTAGAACAGAGAGACTGGAAAGGAAGGGATTACAAGAGAGTAAGTGACACACAGTAGGGAATATCTCTATCAAGAATATGTTTAGCTTTACAATATCCCTAAGAAAAGATATTAATATCTACAAAGCGTCTTATCCTGACTGTAACACCATGATATTTTATAGCAATCTACTGTATCTCAATCTGATGCCTTCCAAATGCTTTGGGCAAAATTGCAGCTTAATATACCCGAATGACATGTGATAAGGATGACTATCATACAAGTTGGTTTCATTTTTACTTATCCTCTTCCCCTAAGTCACGTTCTGAGAAGGTTATATTTTCAAAGTTGTAAAAAAAACATGAAGGCCAGTAAAAAAAAAAACCTACTGTTTTATGTTCATTCTGTGACCACAATCTGTTAAAAAAATATAACTGATGCAATCTTAATACATTATTTCCAAGCTTCCATGAATGATTAGTATATTCCAGTTCCTGATTTATGATCATTCTGTATATTTTTGATTGACCTATAGTTTAGTTCTAATAAAAAAGGCAGGAATTACAAATAGATCAGAATATTTTTATCTGCAAATTACAGCATTTTTCTGTATTTAAGAATTTATACTTCCACATAATCTAGTTCTAGTTTTCAGGATACTAGAAAGGAGTTTTATAATAAAATTACTTATTATGTAGCTCATCTGATTTATTATCTTGGTCTATTATTTGTTTAGTAAATTATTAGAGATCTATTATTAAGATCACAGTAGGTATAGTTGCCTATCTCTTGGGGCTACTACAATCTGCTTTCTAAATGGTAGATGAAACCTATGAGCTGTAACTTTTCACTTGATTATCCTCAACAAGTAAGATTTTCTTCAGGGTTATTAGGTAATTTATTATTTTTCCTTTCAAGCCAGAATACTGGTAATAATTGATAAGGGAGATCGTGGTGTAGCATTTTGAGTTAAGTCTTCTTTCTTCTTTTCCTGAAGACTGCTCTATTTTTGTTTTTTTCAACCTGCATAGCTTCTATGTCTGTAGACTTCAAGAGTTTTCAGCAACAGTCAGGCTAGCTATAGAATTCTAGGCACAAAAGGACCTTTCTTAGGTCAAGCTTAGAGTAACTTTATAAAAAAACAGAGAAAAGAAAGAAAATGCTTTTAGATCTGAGTTTAAAGTATGTAATACTAATATAAAAGTAATACTGCAGAATGAAAAAAATTTAAAGAGTACATGATAATGTATGGGACAATACCTACTTTGAAAAATTGTATAAATAGTATAAACATGGTCAGAAATCATAGCAAACTATAGTTTTAGAGAAAAGAATCTGGAAATATCTTTCAAATTCAGTATCTTTCAATGTAAAATGAGTGACAGAGGGAGAAATAGTATTAGTGTTGTTCGAGTTTTGATCTCACAATAGTTCCTTCCATTGAGCAGAATGAAGAATGTATCATTTTCATGCAAAAATTAAGCCAGGCCATAGTCTACTTTTTCAGGGTCTACTTTTTCAAACCAATCCTCTGGATGCACAAAAGGAGAGCATGAAGGCAATATTGTTTTTTAGTTGTTCATCCAGATTCTGACATTCAATGACCAAATGAACTATGAACTAACTGAACTATGGGCCTTCTATTTAGCTACAGAGATTATAACCACCACCCTACATTGATTTGTCCATTTTATTTTTATAGAAGGTGATAGTGTATGAAAAGTTTTTTTTCAGCTCCACAATCAGTGGACATTCTTTATACCAGGGTATCAAACTCAATTTCATTGAAGGCTGAATTGAGGGTTGTGTTTGATCTTGGGGGCTGGAATGGCCATGACTAGGGTGGGCATGGCTAACATGACATCATTAGTGTTGGGGAAACCTGCGGTTGCCTCAGCACTCTGCCAGCAAAAATGGGCTCCCGAGCTCCATTTTCAGCTGCGACGGCCTCCTGCAACTCTTTGTCACGAAAACAGAGCTGGGGAAGGCCACGTTGACCCCCCAAGCTCCATTTTTGCTGGCAGAGGTGCCATGGGTTGGTCCTTTGCTGTTTCCTTCCCCGCGGGCCAAATCTAAACACTCCATGGGCTGGATCCAGTTTGACACCCCTGCTTTATACTATAAAGAACTGATCATGCCACTGTAAAGAAATCATGAATGCTGTTTTAAGTAAATGGAACTGCAATGACTGACATTAAAAAGAAACTTTGGAATGGTTAAAAATATTGTTTTGAATATTTTTCCTATTCTTCTGGCTTTTTTTAGCAATAAATTATGGGACCTGTAGGAAAAAAACATATATACTTACAAAAATTTCCCATTAGTCTTTGTACCCAGAAGTAGGCGTCGCTCTGAATCCTCCCGAGATATCATCCCATGAAACCAGGGCATTTTCAAGTGTGCAGTTGTAGCAATCAGTTTCTCCAGTTGTGGTTTTTGACTAATAATTGCTTGCTCAAGGGCATGTCCCTGTATAATTGACAGGAGGGCAAAAGGTAAGAATATAGTTAACTATGAAAGTTGATGTATGAGTGGCTTTGATCTAAACAGAGCCGTTTACTAAGATTTTAAAGTATAAACATTCTGAGTGTAGAACTTTTAGCATAACTTGTAGAGTTCATCTGAATGTCTAGATTGCCCTGAGAGAAATTTATTTCACTAATCCTTTTCTGAAAATATGATATTACTCTCAACTATCATGGGCTCACTGCAAGAGCAGTCTGACCATTTTTTTTCTTGTCCCTTATCAAAAGTGGTGTTTTCGCCTTCACAACTGTGAAATGATTGTGAAATAAACCCTGGAAGAGAAGGTGTAAAGTCATAATAAACAATACAAATAAAATTTAAAATAAGTGACAAATGAAATACAAAAATCATTAAATAACAATTTTGAAATTCATATTTAAAGTTGGCATTAGCCAACTTCACCAGTTTAGGTGATTAGATGATAAAGCAGTGAAATGAATACTAGAGAATATGGAGTTTGCAAAAAAAGCTGAATTAATACTTTGTACCTGCCTTTCCTGGAGAAGATATAGAGGTAATCTTTGACTTACAACAATTTGTAAGTCATTTATTGATCAACTGAAAGTTATGATGGGCTGAAAAAATTGACTTACAGCCAGTCCTCATATTTATGACATTGCAGCATCTCTGTGATTGCATGATCAAAATTTGGGCACTTGGCAACTGACATATATTTATGAAAGTTGGAATTTCCCATTGTCATATGATCACCATTTGCAACCTTCATAGGGGGCCTCCAACAAGCAAAATCAATGGGGGAATTTGGATTCATTTAACAACTGTGGTGATACAGTTAATGACTGCAGCAAAAAAAAAATTGTACAGTTGGGTATGACTTACTTAACAATTACATCACTTAGTAATGGAAGTTCTGGTCCCAATTGTGGTCATAAGTTGAGAACTACTTATTTTCTACTATCTATTAACTACTATTTGTTGGACAAATACCTGAACCTGTACTGACTTCCCAGCACATTGTATTATCAGAAGATGTTCTAGCACATCCTGAAGATTAGAGTCTACCAAGGGTTACGAATTTTATCATGTCCCAAATAGCAGCTGCACAGAAACACCAGTAACACAGGAGAATGGCTCCATCTTGTGAGAAGCCCAGAGGCATCTGGTTGAACAAAGTAAAAAAGGAAATGCTGGACTAAGATAGATCTTAGTCAGCTCCAACAGGAATGTTTTTATGAGAACAAATTTGAAACATGGAAAATAATATAATATATCTGAAAGTATGTATGTATGTATGTGTGTGTGTGTGTGTATGTATGTATGTATGTGTGTGTGTGTGTATATATATATATATATGTTATGACTCCCCTTCAAAATTCAAACGAACAAAACAGAAAACAGCCGTTTCACAATTAAATCAAACGGAAAGAAGTCTTACAAGATAACGGCTGGCAGAAACCACAGCATAAATCTTTACTCTGTCCGGCAAACCAGTCCTGGCAATAAATCCTCAGCCTCAGAGCTCTTTGCTGTAACGTCCTCACTCAAATAGTTATTTTGTTCCTGGCGAAATGTACCAGCCCAGCTGTGTCCTTTTATACTCATTAAGGCAACGTGCTAATTTACTGACTTGCTCTTCTCATTCGCTCCAGCTGATTTTGCCTTTTCAACCGTCTTCTATTTTTTACATTTAACCACAAATTTTCCAAGTTCTCATCTCCACTAGAAGACTCTCTCAAAACTTCCCTGTCA